GCAGGAGGACTTCCTGTCGCACACATCTGACTATTTTTGCACAGATCATGATTATTTTTGCAGAAATCTTGAATGTTCTCTGTCCCTCGTTCAAGACCCTGGGGGCCCCGACCAGACGGTCCAGGCCCGGCCCACGCGCGGCCTGCGCTCCGAGGGAGAGAGGGGAATACATTGTATCGGTAACTGGGTCCTGGGTCCTCCGACCGGACCGTAGACGAAACAGTGGCCGCCTGCCCGGGCTTCTCAAACCCTTTTTTTTTTTTTTTTTTTGAGGGCTGAACCACGAACGATGTTTTTAAATGTACAGAACGCCCAGGGCTACAACAGCCCGGTGGAGCTGAAATAGAGTCATGGCTGTTACATTTGAGGAAGTGTTGCATGTGCCCGGGAAGCGTGAACAGAGCGGCAGGTCTAATGGCCAATTGCACACGTACATTAGGGTTGTCGGTGATCTTGGAAGGAGTTCATTTGATTTCTAGCGATCACTGGCAGGTCCGGTGATTTTTTGCTTATAGTCATGAATGAAGAACTAGGTTTCAGAGGTTCATTAAAAGAAACGTGGTTTTCTTCCCAGTGAAGGTTGACAAGCCTGCATTCAGTGCCCGGGCCCCTGGTGGAGAGGCCCTGTGCAAGAGGGGCTTTCTGATGAGGTGGAAGCCACAATGTACTGCATGTCAGCCGGTACTTCCTGTTAACAAGTCATAGGCACTCTACCAACAGCTTAAAGACGAAATGCAGGTCTTCACCTCTTTTGAGCACCTAATTCAGTGGTTCTCAACCTTCTGGCCCTTTACAGTTCCTCATGTTGTGACCCAGCCATAAAATTATTTTCGTTGCTACTTCATAATTGTCATGTTGCTACTGTGATGAATCATCATGTAAATATCTGATATGCAGGATGGTCTTAGGCGACCCCTGTGAAAGGGTCATTCCACCGCCAAAGGGGTCGCGACACAGGTTGAGAACCGCTGATCCTAATTTGAAGTATTTTAAGAGGCTTCAAGTTGAGTATGCAAGTACTACTACGCTAGTGCTACTGTGGGGGTAACTGACTTATGGAGAATATAGACCATAGGTGGTAGATACAAGGGAAATTACTCAATGGGAATGATAATTTGCTTTTAAAGAGAATTTATCCTATTATTCTATTCCCTCCTTCCCTCAGCTTTGGAGTAAGACTTAAGGTTTCAAACCCTGGCCCATCATTACCTAGTTTGGTTATCTTAATCTTTTTGTATGTGAACTTGGAAGTACTAAAAAAATCCTACCTCTTGGGTTTACTGTGACCATTAAATGACATAAGGAACCAAAGGGATACTTAATTCATCTCAGTTCTTTCATGGTTGAGGGACTCCTTTGTTTTCCCCCTGGTACTTGGTTACCCCCAGAGTGAGGCTTAATGGGTCTCTACTGGGCCTCGGCTGTAGTTGTCCTTCTGTTGCCATTCTCTTACTCATGCAATAACCCATAGAATTTTTTTCTGCCTCTCTCGCATTTTCTAACTTAAAATTACATAAACACATCCTCTTTACCCTGCCAGACTAAAATCCTTGAGGGGCACTTTCTCCACAGCCTCCTGCCACATGTTCACAACATGTGACTCAGTGAAATCAAAGCTTGGTTGTCAAGCTTTCTAATCGAGTTTTAAAATACGTTGGGCACACCACAAATGTAGCATTAGCCCAGAGAAGTACTTTGGATAAAAATGTCAGCCCTTGTCTACGTAGTGCCTACCTTAAGAATGGAAAAAATACCACGGGTTCGTGTTTTATATCAAAAGGACATTGTCACTAGTGCATTTTGATCATCACAAGAGGAAAAACAGGGCGCAGGAGAAAAAGGAAAAGCAGTGTAGGCAAAACAGGAAACGAGTTTTTTCCTTTATAACAGATTTCATAAACCTTTAAAGTCATCTTTCATTAAATATAAAATTCTCATTAAAAACTTCAGCTTCAAGTTTAGAAGTGCCCAGTCTGACCCAACAGCTTGATGCTGCCCCCTAGTGTTTTGTTCCCCTTGAAGTTTCCTGAGTTTAACTTCCCTTTCTTCACCTTTTCCTAAAACAAGATCTATTTAAATTACAATCAGACTCCTTAGTGTTATACGCCCTAGTCTCCTTGGCATTTCCTCCAGCTGCTGGTAGGGTTTCTGATAAGATAGTCATTTTGAATTGGTTCATTCTTACTGCTTTTAGCCCCCAATTTTCCAAATAGGGGTGAGTTTTGTGTGGAGAGAAAACAGTATAATAGGTTTCCTTGCAAGATTATATAGGGGATTTTTCAAAGCAGGAAAAGGGGTATATGTTAATCTATTAAGTTAGCTTTGTATATGAGTAACATAACTTTGATTTATTTAATCTGGGCTTTGCCTTGAAAAGTGTGATAAAAAAGTGTGCTTTCCGGCCCTGACCAGGTCGCTCAGTTGTTTGCAGCATCGTCCTGTGCAGCAAAGGATGGAGGGTTCAATTCCTGGTCAGAGCACTTACCTAGGTTCCGAGTTCAATCCCCAGATGGGAGACAACCAGTCAGTACATTCCTTTCACATGTACATTCCTTTCACATTGATGTTTCTCTCAGTGGAAAACTGTCCTCGGTGAGGATAAAAGAATTGCTTTCTGGGATCAATGTAGTCCCATATAACTTTGTGTTGCCTCAACTGTACTGAAAATAAAATTGAAAGTGCTAAAATTGCATGGATGGTGAGCTTTTGTTTTTTAAGTTCTATTTTATTTTGAGCTGTGACTTATAGAAGGATCTCTGAAAAATATTCTCTTGGACCTTTAATAACCACAGTATTTCCTGAAATCATTTATGTAAACTAAAGTTTCAAAATATGCTAGTTATCAATATTCCAAACTATTATTTTTCTTTTCATTATTTTCTCTTAGTAAGTTCTGTGAGTGGGCCACACAATGTCTTAGATTTTTCTAAATTGAGCAAATATCTCAAAAATTGACCACAGACTGTTCAAAAGTGTGTTCAGTGGGTATAAAGGCAATTTATAACTGAAATTACTGTATAAAGATTTACATAACAATAGCACTCAAATAATTTCCAGCTGCGTAAGAGACCACAGTTAATGTTCTGACATTAAAACAACACAATTTATATTATTTCGTACCAAAGCACAATTTACTGTTATATAGTGGTGGTGGTAAAATCTTTATGTTTAAATTATATTCACTAAGAGCGGTAGATGATTTTGTAATTACCTAATTTTATAATTACTCCTTATAGTTAAGATATTTTACTGCTGAAAAGAGAGGGAAGTATCAGATAGTACTTATCCTTCCGTTAACATTTCTAATAGCCATGTTTACCTTATGTGCTCTACTTTTGGGAACCACCCAGTCCATTCAGAAAAGAGGTTTTTAGAGATTAGAAAAGTAAAGAAGAATGTTGTAGGAAAGAATCTTTATCCTATTAAGATTGTGTACTTTTATAGGACTGGGAGTATTGTTAGAAGAATTACTATGAGTCATGTTTGGTTATTTTTCATCTGGTAATTAAGACTTGTCAGTCAGTGATCACTTTAGTTCTCAGACCTCTTTTCATTCATAGAGGAAGTAGGAAATCTAGGTAGCCTTCAGCTGTAGTAACAAGATTTACATCCCACTGTCCTATTAATCCTATATAATAAAAGCCTCATATGCTAAGTGTCTGGTCGTCCATTCAACCAATCAAAGTGTAATATGCTAATGATATGCTAAGGTTGCTCAACCGCTTGCTATGATGTGCACTGACCACCAGAGGGCAGATGCTCCTACCGATTGGTTAGCTTGCTGCTGGAATCTGGCCGATCAGGATTGAGCGAGACAGGCCGGACACACCCTGGAGTCCTCCTGTGGTCCATTCTCCCCAGCCCCCGCCCCCCTGGCTGGCCAACCTCCCACATCCCTCCCCGGCCCCAATCATGCACCAGTGGTACATCAGCCTGGCCTGTGCCCTCTCACAATCCAGGACCCCTCAGGGGATGTTGGAGAGCCAGTTTTAGCCCGATAGTGCAGGCCAGGCCAAGGGACCCCATTGGTGCACAAATTCGTGCACCGGGCCTCTAGTATCTAAATAAAAGGAAACCATTTTAGATGTTCCCTCACACTTGTAAACTTTCTTCTGAATTCACTTTATATATTCTGTGAATTTGTGAGTTTTAAGATAGTGGTTTTCGCTACAGTTGCCCACAGAATTGATAATTTAAAAAAAATGTGTAGGATAAGCCACAGGTAAGCAAGCTGTGTCCCATAGGCCAAATCAGCCTGCTTTTCTGAGTTAAATATTGGCACACAGTCCTCTCCTTGGTGTATGTGTTGTTTATGGCTACTTTTGTGCCCAAATGGTAGAATTGAGTATTTGCCTTAAACACTGTGCTGCCTGCAAAACCTAAAATGTTAATTATCCGGTCCTTTTAAGCCTGCCAACCCTTGGATCCAGTTCTTAATGCTCTATCATTGTTTGACATATTGCTATTACAATAATTGTATCTTCCTAGGACCTATAAAATACTTTAGTAGAAGTACAACCAGTCGAATATAAATGCATAGTATGAATGTACGTTTTCATGTTCTTACCTAAGTAACACAGAAGCCTTTCATCTCTCCCAGGTACATTCTCCCTTAATAGGAAGTATAACACCTTTATCCGTGTTTGGAGTTGCAATGTGATGCCCTTGGCCTTCAACTCTGAGCTACCACCTAACACTATCATATTGTTTCTACTACTTTTGTAGCATCTATCACAGTTTACTAATTTAAAAAAAGTAGTTTTATCTTCCTGGTACCTCCTTCAGAGCAGAATATATTTCATATTTTTATGTCTTCTCCTTGCCTGTCCCCTTTTCCTTTCCCTTTCCCTTTCCTCCTGGTCTCTTCACCCATTATAGATCAATGGCTGGTGTTGCTTAGTGGTTGAGCATCAACCTATGAACCAGGTGGTCAGTTTTCGATTCCCTGTCAGGGCACTTGCCCTGGTTGCAGGATGGATCCCCAGTAGAAGGTGTGCAGGAGGCAGCCGATCAGTGATTCTCTGTCATCATTGATGTTTCTATCTCTTCCTCTCCCTTCCTCTCTCTGAAATCAATAAAAATATAAAAACAAAACATTCATGATCACATGTTTATAGGTCTGTGAACAAATGTTTTGGAATAATAATTCTTAATGCACTTCTTCTGAAGATGAATCATTCTGTTTATGTGAAGAAATATATTTCACACTGTTATACCAATGAAATAAGTAAAACAATGTAATATTAGAAAAATATTAGGTTGTAACATTGTATTATATAACTAGAGGCCTGATGCACGAAGATTTGTGCAAGAATGGGCCTTCCTTCCTCTGGCTGCCGGAACCGCCTTCGCTCCAGCCCAGAGCCGCCTTTCTGCCTTTGTTCCAGTCTGGAGCCCCCTTTCCACCTTCCCACACTGCCCAGAGGCCCGGAGTGGCTGGGGCGGTGTGGAACGCCTGTGTCCTGCCCCACCCTGGCTGCTCGGTGCCTGCATATGCAAATTAACCCACCATCTTTGTTGGGTTAATTTGCATACTCATGCCTGATTGGCTGATGGGTGTTGCAAAGGTATGGTCAGTTTGCATCTTTCTCTCATTAGTGTAGATTATACATAAAATTACATATGTACTAATAGAGAATAGATACTATATATTATGTGTAATATATATATTATAAAGCAACAAGATCATGTTCTCTGTCCCCATAGATCTTTTTTAGTATAGAAATTTAGCTGCATAACTTTAATGTTCAGAACATACTTTTTAAAAAAAACTTACTGGGGTGGCATTGGTTAATAAAATTACATATGTTTCAGGTACAGAATTCTCTGATACATCAACTATATGTAGCATTGCATGCCCACCACCCAAAGTCAAATCTTCTGTAACCATATATTTGACCCCCTTACCCTTTGTTAACCTTCCATCCCCCTTCCCTCTGGTAACCATCATATTGTTGTCTGTGTCTGTGAGTTTTTGTTTTTGATGTTTATTCATTTGTTACTTTTAGTTTTATATCTCACTAAGTGAAATCACTAAGTGACTTTTTCTGACATATTTCACTTAGCACGATATTCTCAAGATCCACTCATGTTGTTGCAATGGCAGTACTTCATCTTTCTTATGGTTGAGCAGTATTCCATTGTGTATGTGCCACATCTTTACCCATGTATCCAGTCCTCTAGCAAAGGACACCTCAGTTGTTTCCAGGTCTTGGCCACTGTGAATAATGCTGCAATGAACTTAGGGGAGCATATACCTCTGCATATGAGTGCTTTCAAATTTTTTGAGTAGGTACCCAGAAGAGGAATGCTGGATCATATGGTCATTCTACTAAACTTTTTAAGGAACCTCCATACTGTTTTCCATAGTGACTGTGCCAATTAACATCCCAGGTGCAGTAATGAAGTAGAACATACTTTTTAAGATTTTCATTTTAATTAGGATATTACAGTTTTTTCAAATAAAGTGAATAATTTTATGTATGTAACCAGTATAAATAAAAAATTATTTTCCAGAAAACAATCATACCAGTTTTTTAAAAAGCTGACAAGGAAACCAGGAAGGTATGCTAAAATCAAATCACTGAAAGAGATTTTAAGAAAAATGTTCTTTAAATTCACTGTAAATATATAGTACATAATACAATTTATGCTTTATAAGACAAATATTAGAACTTTTACTAGGAAGACATTTGCGTAAACACAAGAACTTGAAAGTTTTATTGAGGCTAATATAAACTTTCTTAACATAAATATGTAAGAGTATGGTTAGTTCAATGATGTTTTTATTTTCCCTAAAAGAGAAATGGATGTTAGGGGTGCTAGATCTTTGGGGGTCATGTTCACTTTATAGTTTTTTAAAAGAAGAAAATATGTATTAGATATGGAGAGAAGAAACTTCTTAAATTTAGAAATCAGAAGAAATTACAAAAACAGTTCAATAATGCATATACAGGAGAACATTCATGAAAGGGTAAACCATTGTAATCAAAATTAAAAGGCACTGGGTAGAACCAAGTGTGTTTTTTGCAGAAAATATGACTAATATTATGTAGTATCACATAGATGTTGATAAAAATAATGAGACAACAGAAATAATTTTAAAAATGTAAATGAAAATAAGGCAAGATATTACTCCAAAATTAATACCAACTATTAATGAGAATGCTATGACCATACTGCTGGTAGCAATATATAACTCTTTTTCTGGCATTAATAATATTCTTACGTTTTCCTTTTTATTTTTCTACTAAAGGCCCGGTGCACAAAAATTTGTGCACTGGTAGGGGGGGTGTCCCTCAGCCCCACTTGTGTCCTCTCACAGTCTGGGACCCCTCAGGAAATAACAACCTGCTGGCTTAGGCCTGCTCCCGGGTGGCAGAGGGCAGGCCCAATCCCTAGGTGCAGCCCCTGGTCGGGCTCAGAGCAGGGC